CATAGATGCAGAATTACATTCTGATTGATTTATAGATAGAGCTAGTACATACAATACCTAAAGCCACTAGTACGCATAGCGTTCCGGGCAAAATAGCGTTTCTTGTAACATATCCTAGTGACATCTGCTGGCTAACCCAGAGAGGGCTGGTTATCCCAGACCTGACCTAGCACTAGGGCTCAGTATCATCAAGCCATAAAGACCATTATGAAAGAGCAAGATAATAGTGATAAAAAGTTGCTGATAATCTTTCAAGAAAAAAGTGTTAGGATTTTTTAGATAAAAATATAAAAAAAAAACAGTTCACGCAAAAGGGGTAAGTGGGTCAGGGATGATTCATCTGGGCCCCATAATATATGTAATGTATTCAAAGAGAAATATTCAGTGTTTAATAACTTATCTTAAACTTGCCTTAAACATGGAATACCGAAACTGTATGTCGATCTGTGCGTCTTGCAGACTTTCTCTCCCACGGTACATCGCCATCTGTAACAGAACCCATCTGTACTTGTTTCCCGTCCAAACAACTAGCGAACATCTATATCCTCTGATAATTATAGAGTTATTGACATGAACACCATTAATAACCTCCCGTGAATGATGCTCATTAAGCTCAACACCCCCAAAAAACCTTGAAAGACTGGGCCGTGAGTCTCTATAAAATGCAGGGCAGAGCAGCACATCATCCACAACTGGCTAGAGTTGTGTGTATAGCAGTCCTGCCCATAGCAGCACGCTCCCATATTCTCCTGACTACTTCGTGACAGGTATAACTTGGTTAGTCCCATATTTTTCTAATATGGATTATATTAGCTGTAATCTATATATTAGAATATTGTGATCATACAAAGAGGGGTGAGCTCTTTTCCCTACCCGAATTTGATAGATCATGCCCTTTTTTGGTGTTGGTACATGATCTATAATGTTGTTACCTCCAGAGGGCTGTGTCACGTAGTGTGTGTGTGTGTGTGTGTGTGTGTGTGTGTGTGAGAAAGGTGTCCTGTACCAGGCCTGGAAATTGTTTTCCCGCTTGTGATGTTTGATTTACTCAACCTATTGCCTCGTGGTTAAAGTCCTCCATTATAGGGGGTTTAGGTGTCTGCTGACGCATTGATCACATTATGCAGATCATCAACTTTCTCTGCTGTTGCTGTTTCAGCCCTGTAGCCTACTCCCACATTCAGTTTACTACCATCTTGAGCTAGTATGTTGCACCATACCGATTCTGATATTCCCATGGTGTTCACTCATTGTTGGTTGCGTTCAAGTCTTCTTTTTTACATACAGCATTACACGACCTGTTCTTGTTATTCTGTCCTTGCTGAATATCCTGGAAGATGGAATTCACCTTTAATTATGGCCTCTCGCCCCATGTTTCGCTGAGGGCTAGAGGACCTCAGGATTCTCATCCTCCATGCATGCACTAAAATAATCAAATTTATTTATTAGGCTTCTGGCATTTGTGTAGAAGCCATTTAAGTTACTGACGTTGTTCCTAGGGGGCCGAGAGATTGCTTCTGCATTCTGCACATTATTACTCCGTAAATTGTCATTCGGGTTTTGTGCCAATTTGTCGTCTGAAATACGCAGATAGCATCAGATTCTCCAACGCATCTAAATCCTTTTGTTGAACCCTGCCTGCATTCGCTATGTTCCCCCCGGATTTCCCGAGTGTCTCATTATCCTCAGGGTTTTCCCAGTTGGCCATGGGAAACGTACCTTTATGATTTATTTTTATTGATTGTGGAATGTCCACAAATTTTTTCGATACCCACTGGCTTTCCTGTAATTATTCTATTGGATAATTATTTTATTCACCTTTTGACCTTCCTACAGCTCTTTTATTATTTTATCATTATTTTGTCTTTATTCTCATAGATTTTTAACTCTGTTCCCATCCAGTGGTACCTCATTATTCTCATCTAATGTTGCCGCATTATTCTCCTTGGTAGTCCCAAGTTTAATCAGTTCGTCATTGCATGTAATGCAGTAAAAGTGAAAAAGGCTTTTGCCTTCAATTTTTTCTTTGTTGTAGGTATCGCATAAGGCGTCTGAGATCTTCAGACAATTACTGTGGTGCATCAGTTTGCAACCATTACATCTAATTGATAATTTCTTTCAGAGTCCTACGACAAAATTACAAGTCGTATGACTGCTAATCTTAGAAAGGAAGCAGGCAGATCTGAAGTAACTTACTAACATCCCTTCTACTCTTAAGTTGTCCTATATACTTAACGGAATGACAAGTGTAGATTTATTTCTTGTTATTGTTAATATGTTCTGCTGGCAAATTTAATAGGCTAGTCAATGTTTACTTTTAAGATTAGTCAGTTTGGTCTCCCCCGGCTCACCCCTGGCTAGTGGTGAAGGGGGGGGGTAGATGTTTATACTTATTTTGATCTTATTGCGTTCGTTGCATTAATTGTATTGCAATTTGCATATGCAATATACAGTACTAGTGTGCTTAAAGCATGACACAACTGTGTGTATAATTAATCACGCTTGAATGCAAATTTATTATAGGCGATTTGATTTATGGCTTTCCTAGTCTCTAATAGCCTCATATAATAAGAATATTCTCGAATGGTGAGTTAATCGTAATTTCCAAGTCGGTTTTTTTTTTTCAGGGATATTCCTGCGCGGGGCCCTAAGTCTCTGGCTGGCCCCACTAAATGTTACTTGTTTCTGTTTTACTTGGGCGGAGTATGAGTATTTATGACTCGTATGGTCGCTTCAGTAAGATTTTGCCATGTGTGTTTAACAACTTCTTCCGCTTTGTTGAATCTAAATTGAAATCTTAATGGGTTTGTAACTGTGCACTGTGTTAGATAATGTTCCAGTAGTCTGTCGTGTTACTTATAATGGTCTAAGAGAAACGAAGACGAGGTAATAATTACTATCAGTTGAAACTGTACCTAGGCTTTTATGCATTTGTTGACCAAACCACACACTAGAAAGTGAAGGGACGACGACGTTGCGGTCCGTCCTGAACCATTCTCAAATCGATCTTTTATGCATTTATCTGGTGACTCGGATACTTTTGATATCGTTCGCTTTATGCGTTTTTGTTCTCGTATTGGCATCCTTGGTGATATTTAGCGCCCTCTGATTATTCTGCGCATTTGATGGTGCTACATAGCCTTCCCGGTTTGGTGCCTTCTTTTGATAATTACTTACTTATGCATTTATCACTGTGTCTACAGGATACCTGTTGAAGACACGAGAGGCTGTAGAGGATGAGGGCGTGGACACTACTGACGGTGGTGAGCCTGGTGGTGGTGGTGGTGCTGCAGCAGCCGTGCCAGGCACAGATTCAGGTCACCCCGGAGCTCATCGCGGGCATCATCAAAAAACTGGTCAGGTGAGTTGACCAAGTGATCCGTCAGGCGAAGTTTTATACACTTTGTTAAAGTCACTGTAAGTAATGTAAATCTTGATCAACTTTGTTTTAATGAATTATTAGCGATATGTTAACAATTTTCACCAACTTTTATTTTAAAATATAACTAAAATTTTATTTATGGTAAAACTTGTTTTGGCTCAAGCACTTGAAGATATATTCTTCAATATTAGTAGACCTGGGCAAGGATTCATTAAGCATTTACGAGACAAAATACTAAGGAACTGATCAAAGGCCACAAGGCGATGAAGGAATCCTCTTGAATCGATGAAGGTTCCTCCTGTAGGAGGAACAATATTTTGATGAAAGAAGTTATAGACCTTAAAAAAATTAGATGTTACACATATGTACAGGCCCGGGGTCAATCAGGAGTCTCTGATGGGGGGGAAGGGTTAATCAGACTCTTGAGAGGAACTCGGTGAATGCAGACAGACTTCCGGATAGAGATGCAGGTGCTCAAGAGAGGGACGCAGAAACCATGGATAGGCACAGACGAGGAAAAACGACCTCATTACCTTGCGAAAGAAAGATGAAAACAAATGACAAGGAACCCATTGAGGCAATGTTAGATAGTTAGGCAATGTTAGGCAAGGTGGAAGACTTTCAAATGTAATTTTTAATTCATTCTACTTGAGTGTAAAAGTACATTCAAATGTACTTTTTACAGTACATTTGTATGTAAAAGTTCATTCAAATGTACTTTTACCTGAATAAACATTTGATTTTTTTAATTTGAATTTGACTTAAGTACTGTACATCAGATAAGTACTGCATATCGGGAGGTTGGGTAGGCCGGAAGCAAATATGTTTAGAATAACCATTGCAAATTTTTAGCACAGAAGGAAGATACTAAACCGTGCCCATAATTTCAAAGATCTCGACTGAGTATATATATCTTCAGACCTCACTATAGAACAGCAAAAAAAACAAGGTGCTAAGAGGCCAACTGAAGGAGTTAAGAAACAGAAAGATCCAAAATCTTTCTACGCCTATATAAGGAGAAAACCAAAACAGTGGATTCAGTTGGACCCTTAATAGATCAAACTAAGTTATAATGGATGATAAAAGGGCAGCAAACACACTAAATTATTATTTTACATCAGTGTTTACACCCGAAAGGTTGGATGATTTTCCCATCACCCACATAAATGTTTGAAGGCGGTGAGGAGAATGAATTTAGGGATATACACGTAACATGCAAAATAATTAGAAAGAACATTGACAAACTAAGTCTCCAAAGCCCCAGGTGTAGATGGAATCCAGTCCAGAGTCTTGAAGAAACTGGCAGAACTATGCCTGTTGCTGAAATTACTTTTCACAAAATCCCTGGACCAAGGGGTAGTCCCTTTAGATTGGAAATATGCAAATGTTACCCCTATTTTCAAGAAAGGCAGGAAGAGCTCAGCAGGAAATTACTGGCCGATCAGCTTAACATCACACATCTGTAAGCTCATAGAGAAAATCCTCTGGGAGGGGAAATAATTCACCATACTTCAATGAAAAACCTTGTACAATCGACACAACATGGATTTCTTAAAAACAGATCCTGCCTTACAGATTTGCTCACACTTTTGGAAAAATTAACCAGCTACTTTGACAAAGGCTTTCCGGTGGATGTAATATGCAGTTCGTAGATTTTGCTAAAGCTTTTGATAAGATACCACATGAAAGACTGGCATGAAAATTACAGGCCCTTGGAATAAATGGTAAATGTGGACGAATGTAGTCTACATAAGTTTGCAGGTGAAGCTTGGCGAGCAATGGTGTGCCGGCGAGTCGGCGAGTCGAGTGCACGCTGTATATATATGGTGCGACGGAGAGGATGGAACGACTTAGTAATTTATCTAGCTAAATATATAATAATATAGTTCACAACAGCTGTTTATTGCGATAATAACCTCGAGTTGGGAAGTTTCGAAGCTCGTAAATTGTTTAATAAATGTAAACAAAGCCGCCATTATTTTGTTCTCTCATTTGCATTTATTAGTTTTGTTTTTTTTATGTAAAAAGTTACAAAAGTTATTTTGTCCCAGCTTATGGAAAAATGGAGAGTTGGAATTCATGGGCCACACCTGCAAGTACAGCTACAAACCCAGAATCAGCAGTTGGCGCCTATACTACATAGGAAAGATGTGGTGTCCGGGTTGGGCCTCCTTCTCTGGCGAGTGTGAGTATCTTAGTAGGGTGTGGTTTGACGTGAATGTCTATGTATAGCTGAATGTATCCCATGGTCTCATGTATAGCTATGTACATATTTACCTGAATTTACCTGATGGCCACTACCATTCTAGTAGTGAACAGGAAGCCGGTGGCTTGTCAAAGGTAACCCCCATTTGCCTTGATGAATTTGTCTAGCTAGATTTAAACAAAAAAAATAAGAGTTTGGACATTTACGGCTTCGGCGGGAAGGCGGTTCCATAGGTTTCCTAATGGATATCTTGTTTTCAGGAGATATATTTTTTTATTTAATTCATTGTGTCGGGGGACAGGAAGCCAGAGTGCAGGTTTGTTGGAGAGTGATTCTTCTGGTTCTGTGTGGTGGTTCGTGGATCTCGAAGTCGCTGGTGGTGTTTTCTGCTACGAAGGGATCTTCTGGGTCTGGGACATACATGTTCTTCATACGGTACAGCTGTCTTCTGGCCAGGTAGCTGAGCCTAATGTTCATTGGCTTCATGTTGAGCGTCTCATGGATCAGGTCAGTTCTTACCCTGTCCCTCAGAGTCAGGCCCTCTGCAAAGCGAAGTGCTTTGTTTTGTACTCGTTGAATCTTCAACATGTTGGTTCATACACGTTTTCATACGTCATAAACCGTCTGAGCCTGCAGTATCTGCTTTGAATCCTGTAACATCTACTACCCCTGCACTTTGGTCATGCAGTAGCACCAGCATTTCCTACACCTCTTAATCATTACCAACCGCGACTTCGCACCAGAAGAAAAACGCTTTGAGACACTGGAAAGGAATAGGAAATATAAGGAAGAATATAAGAGGGAGGAATCTGAGTGACCCACGCCTTGGTACGTCGAAGCAGAGTCCTCAATGCTGCGACCTTACAGTCCTCAACCCGATGCTCATCGACCCTGAGTACTAGAAGTGCCCAGACCATACCAGCGTCAACAGAATGATGAACGAGAAGTCAAGCATAGAATGCGACAAAGACGCAGGAGACGATTTTTTTTCCTAACTCCTAACAGAAGCGCCGCCCACCAACACCGAAGCTGATCACATCGACTGCTGCAGCAGAGTTCAATCCAAGGTGGACAGGCCACCGAACTTATTATTCTCCTCGTTCTCCATCCTTATCCTTTATTTCATTAATTTCAACTCCTAATCCTTCTTCAGTCCCATCCTTACCAAACTCTTTAGTCATACCAAAAAAAATGTTATGTCACGCTTTCTATTATCTCTATTGTCACGCACTCTTTCTAGGAGAATGCAAGTAACTGGCTAGTATCAGAGGAGAGACTGTTACATTTTAGGATTAAGGGACGGATTATAAAATAAAGTTCGTGTGACTAATGGAATGCATGAAGTATACCGTCAACAATATGGAAAGATTCATTAATCTCGATTGATTTTTTCCTTTACAGCCAAAACTAAGAGTAGAACAGGATCCATCGAGCAAGCCACCAAGGACTTCGTCCGGAAAGCCGTAGCGAACAATCTTATTACTGCTGAAGCTGCTGGAGATTGGCTCAATTAACAGTGTGGAGTTTAGTAGAGTTTACAATTAATAGTAATTCATAAAGAGTTTAAGACAAGGAACTCGGCATTCATACCATAAGAATTGATCGTATGAAATATGATCCTCTATATGATCCAACATTCATGCGTTTATAAACAGAGGCCAGCCAATGTTCCTACAAGCAAGCACACCTTGACTATCGTATGCTATCGTAAAAGAACAACTTTACAGGTTTCTGGTAACAGCATAATTTTGGTGAGTAACGCAGCCTTAAGAGAAGCTCCATTCAGTATATTAATTATGATGCACAATAAATTGAGGTCAATTATAGTTAGCAAAGTAGAAGCAATTAACATGCAGTACAGACTCCAGTTTTCACTGTAAAACAAACAGTATTCTCCAGTGTTAATTAAATTTGATTAAAAATGTATTTGCAATATTTGATTCCTCCTCCTGCCTTAAGATGTATGCCAACAAAAGCGCATACTTTATGTACGAATTTGTATACATTTTTATCTGCCTTATATTCCATTCGTCTACGTTATAATATTTACCTAACTTATAAATGCTAAGGAATTTACCGGAAAAAAAAGCGTAAAGCCTGTATCATCAGAACATGGAAGGTAAATGAGGCTGGAATATGAGGCCGAGGAGCTGGTATAAAAGAACAAGGAGCTATGATATAAGGAAGAGGAGCTGGGGCTGGGAGGGGGGCGGTGCCCAGTCACATGAATCGTCGGGGGATCGAACGCTTTAAGACAAATTAGTGAGCACTCTACACTGGAAGACAAATGGGTATTTTACATTTGTTTAGTTCACACAGGAAGATAAATGAGGGAATGCTTTACCCAAGAAGACTAATGAAAGAATATCCATTAAGTCTTTAACGAATTATTATGAAAAGTCTACCTCCTCAGGACTCGTGAGTTTACACAATTAAAAATAAATTAGATTATCGAATTAGTCGATCATTAGTTTTTGTTAAAAAATGTATATTTTTTGAATTGCTCTCTGAGCAAGTCAAAATACATATGCGATATGAGACTTCCTGCCTGGCTGGCGCGTCGTCCGGGGTGTCTCCAGTTATCATAACACTGTTTCGTAAGTACGTTCAAGTAACTGAATTCTTTTTAATTCTAAATAATGTTCATAAAAATAAGTAATTTTCGCTGTCTCAAACGTCTAGTATATACACGAATTCGTGTTTCTTTATTCGTTGTACAGTGAAGAACTAACTGGTAGCACAGCCACAAGCTGTAGAATACAGCAAATAATAATCAGTTATTATTGAGTAACATCAGTAATGTGGCAGTGTTCCACTTGATACATTCCGGTTTCCGGCTTGGTGCCTTTTTTTGAATAATTACTTACTTGATACATCCAGCATCCGATTGACTAGTAATTATTCATAGAGTTTTGTTAACAACATTTTTATTAAAATAAACATCAACATTTTTTGGGAGTTGTGGATTTTTGAGTACTGTAGTTACGTCTAGACAAGGTGAGGCTAGTTATTTTCTTGACGTTGATTTGGTAAATTGGTATTGTAGAGACCGGAAGTGAATGAAGCACGTCTCGAATCAAAAGTTATGCTTCGAAAAGTTATTTTACAAAAAATTATGAAAATACAAACAAACTCGATAATTTGTTTGTTATAATGGTAAACACGACGGCCCTTGTCCTGCATTATATTCATGAGCATGCATTACATTATATTCATGAGCTACATGTATGATAATTGTGCTTATCCTTATCCGTTTTAAGGGGGGTAGAAATAGCCTCGCCTACTCTATCACTTTGAGATTTTCTTTCTGGTCTCAATAAACATACTTGAACTGTGCTTTTAAGTGTAGAAGTTTTTTCTAACATTGGTGGGTCCATAAATAAAACTGAATAATGCGTGTTGTTGGAGTCGCCACTCCAGCCAGCCTGGCCTGACAACGGGTTGAATACGAATAATTGCCGACAGAACCTATAACCACCAAGCCTAACTACTAGGGAAGTGAACTGCTGGCTGTCGTGGAGGGTGGAAGTGTTCACTGCTCTCTCCGGCAGTTGGTGGTTGTTTGCCAGTTTTGGCCGTTTGGGGGCGTGTCTCTCTGCTCGCCTGTGCTGACGTGGAGTTCACGATGGGGGGGGTCCCCCTCTCCCCTGTACTGAGGGCTTAGTCTGTGGGCCTCGAATTTTCTGGCCGGGCTGGGTACCCAGAGATAGCGCTGGTGTGTGAGTTGCTTCATATCCCTGTGATAAACATTTATGGAGTCGTGCTGGTGACGGCATGTCGAGCGATAGTGAAGTTCACGGAGGAATTGGCGTATCGAGACTTTCTCTGTCGATACGAGGGACGGACATTACCCCTGCCGGATGGTGCGAGCACTGATATGGTGTCTGCGGTTCCTGCTTCGGGTGCGTCGCCTGCCCCGGATGACTCTGGTTCTTCGTGGGGGGTGGTTCCCCCTGCTGAGGTTCGCGGTGAGCGGGGTGGCCTGGTGATGCTGTTGAAAAAAGGCTGCTCGCTCTGGGGGTTCTGTAGCCCCTTCCTCGGTCCCCGTTTCATCGGCTGCGGTCTCTACGCCTCTTCCGTCTCCGGCCATCTCTTCAGTGTCTCCTGCGGTCTCGGTGGAAGCGTTACCATCTCGTCGATTGTCCCCGGCTCCTGTGCGTACGGTGACGCGGCCGTCTCTGCAGCCCTCGTAAACTTCATCGGTGTCTTCTGCTACCTCGAAGGACGTGATTTGCGCTCCCCAGCCTCGTTATGCTACTTGCGTCGGTGAGCTTAAGGAGTGGCCATTTCCGCCTGATCTGGAGGTTCCCGAGTTTATGAAGGGGCCCACGGCGGCAGGGGGATCGTCCCCCTACCGACAGGGAATATTTGATTTGGGAGGCCTACAAGTGAAGGTATCCTTGGGCTTTGGA